CTAGATCTAATGTAGGGTCTTCTTTGGTAGAGTTTATTTTTAATTTTTTAATATTATTTATAAATTATAAATTTAAATTTTTATTAAATGAAAAATTTTTTAAATTATTTTTAAAAATAATTTAAAAAATTTTTCATTTAATAAAAATTTAAATTTATAATTTATAAATAATATTAAAAAATTAAAAATAAACTCTACCAAAGAAGACCCTACATTAGATCTAGAAAAATAGGTGTTCTGTTTTCATCACCAGGTAAAAAGTAATTGCTGCAGCAATCAAAGACAATGGTTTCAACTTTCATTACATTGTTTTTCTTTTTTTCTTTTTTTATCTTTTATCCTTAGTACAGGATAAGACGTATTTATATACTTTTTTTTATCGTTACCATCCATTAATTCACATTGAAAAATAAAAAAATTAACATTAATTTTAATATACATGACACATAAATATTTTTTATTAGACAATTGATAAATTTAATATCAACTTTTAATTTTATTATGTATATTAATAAAAAAAATGTGAAATAAATACTCTTATTACACAACCTTTCAACGTTGAAAAAGTGAGATACATTAAAGATAATTAGAAAAAAACTAGCATAAATAGAGCTTGAAAATTTGGCAAGGTAAAAACACTCTGCTCAAATAATTTTCTTCATGTGCCAGAAAACAATAATGAAAAAATAGGTAAGATGGTGGCTAGGCAAGATTCTGGCTTCAACTGGGTTTTCGAGCTTTCTTCTTAAAGGATCTATGACGCAAGGCACGGCTGAAAGGAAACAATGGAAGTTGATGAGAAGTCCTCCGTCTTGCTCTTGGTTTCCCTGCATTTAGTAGACATAGGTTGCAACATGATCAATATGATGAATTCACCAAAATATACTGCTCTTCCCGTGACAAAGAAGAATATAAAAAAACATCCCAAGTTGAAAATTTTGGAAGAAAGAAGCAAATCTCTGTTAAACTCATCAAGAAGCATATTGTGGTTTCCAATATTCATTGTAACAATTCAAAAAAGAATCAAATACAATTACCCATTCCTTGTTCTAGAAAAAATATTGGTGAGAATGTTGGTGATTTCAGAAAACTCAGAACTAGCAGCCAAATTCTTTTGAAAAAGATAGTCTTACTTTTAACCCCTCTGCTCATAATGATAAAAGTCAACATTCCACAGAAAACTGAAATTAAATAAGCATTATCAATGAACTCCACCAAGCGGCCCAATGGCTGCGCGCCTCATTGAGTCAGGTGGGTTGTTCATCCAGTCTGGGAATCGAATCCCCAATTGTTAACATCTAACAATACTAACTTATTAACCATT